GAGTGCGCACGCCCACGCTCCACCTGAACCGCGGGCCGCAGGAGCAGAGGCGCACGGGGCACGAGACGCCGAGGCGGCTCCCGGCCGCCACGCCCACCCTCCTCTTTTTGTTTTCTCCTCCTCCTCCTCGTCCTCCTTTCCTCCCCCTCCCCCATCCCACTCCCCCTCCCCCTCCCCGTTCCCCTCCTCCTCCTCATCCTTCTCATGTTGCTCCTCCTCCTCCTCCATTCTTGCCCCTTCTGAATCACTCCTCCCCCAGACGTGTCTGTATGGTGGGCTGGGCGTTTCGCTTGAGACTTCCTCACCACTTCTGATCCTGAAGCTTCAGAATTGTAACAGTTTCACGTATGGAGGGTGGGCTGTGTTCAACATGTGCTTCTCTCCTTCGCGACGCGCACATTCGTTTGAGCAAAAATTGCAGCCGTTTTAAGGATGAACGGCGGGCCGTTTTCAACATGTGGTTCTCGCCTTCGCTACGCGCACATGACATGTGTCCTGACCTTGTGCAGCGATTTCACGGATGGAGGGGGCGGTTGTCAACATGTGACTTTCGCCTTCGTGCCGCTCGCATTGGTCTTAAAACTGTGCCGTAGTTTTGAATGATGCAGGGCGGTTCGTTTTCCGCGTGTGGTTCTCGCCTTAGCGTCGCGCGCATTCATTTTGATAGTTCCAGGTAGTTCAACGATTCGCATGGTCGAAATCCCAGGAATTGCTTTCTGGCAAGAAGGGGGGCTATCAGGACACAGCAGTCATGCTGATTCGCGGTGTTGAAGTCCCAGGTTAGTGCTCTGGCACGGTTGTCAGGACGCAAAAGCAGCGTTGATTCGCGAAGTTGAAGTCCCAGGAATGGTGTTTCTGGTGCGACTGATGACTCTCAGGCGATTGTCTTCCATTGTGGCATTTCCCGCAATACTTCTAAATCCCTTTAGGGCCCTATGACAAATGAACTTGGAGGGAAGGTTGGTTGCAGCATCATTGACGCGTCTTGGTTTTACACGGGTCGTCCTCCTCTTCCTCCTCCTGCCCTCTCCCCGCCACCCGTGAGCGCGACGGGCTCTCGAAGAGCAGAATGTTAGCCAGTGTGGACTCCAAACTGCGTGTGTTCTAGCAACCAGCGGTGCGCACCCGATGTGTGGAGCAAACAATTGAATGGTGTAATCTGCGTGGTGCGCTCTCTGTTGTGCAGGCTACGTATGTTCTGCGATCTGTGTTGCGCAACCTTTGGTGCAATTTACGTGGTGCAGTTCACCCGTGGAATTCGCAGTTGGCAGCTCCACTGCCCGCACAAACACCCCACCCAACCACCCGCAACTCCGTTTGCAAAACCCATGCGGCGGCGATTGCGATGAGTGTTTGGTGGTGGCTGGTGCGTCTCCGCGGCCGTGCTAGTCCGCGCATGCTCGCGCGCAGAGCGGCCAGCTAGTTTGGCGCGACCGGCGCGGCCGCTGCGGCGCTGACCGTTGGGCATTGCTCACTACAATGCGAGTCGGTGGTCTGTGTGGGCGCCGACACCGGTAGACAATGATGATGGTGGTAGCGATGGTGGTGACGGTGGTGGCGATGACGACGGCAAGGCCCATGACGACGCCGATGCTGATCACATCCGCCGTTGACGATGACGATGTTTTCGCGTCGGTGACGCAGGTTTTTGGAAGGAGTTCGGCATGTGCGTGCGGCTGGCGCGCGCTAGTGACCCGCATGGTCCGCAAAGTATTATTTGACAGGGGCTGAGCCCCGCCCCCCCCCCCCCCGTACGCGCGCAAGGGCGTTCGAAGGACTTCGACATGCGGCGCGTGAGGCCCGCTTGGTCGAAAGTGATGAGTATGTTGAATAATCCTATGTGCGCGCAGGTTTGATTGTTTCCAAATTGATGATCCAAAACTTGTCGGTTCGACTTTCCTCTCCCAACAACGCATGGTTTCGGGACACTTGACGTTGAAATGCTTAGTTTCGGCATGCGCGCGCGGCGACACGCGCGCGCGCATTTCGCCAGTTTGTTAGTTTGTTGCAAAGGTTCTTGCGACAGCACGCGCGCAATGTCGCCCGAACGATTCGACATGCGCGCGCGAGAGGCAAGTTTGGCCACATTTGGTGAACCAACTGGGAAGCTTATGATTCTCTTACGAGTTCGCAAGAACGCGAACGCATTCGTTTGAAAATCCGCGTTGCGAAACCAATTGTGTGTTTAGATGTTCTGGGGCATGATGTTCACAGTTTTACGGGACCAGGGGTTATTGAAGGATCTCGGTATGCGCGCGTGCGTATGTCGTTTTATTTGTTGGGGAAAAAAGTCTTGACATTCATGAGTCGTCAGAAGAACGCACGCGCGCATTACGTGTTTTGCAGAGGATGATGTGTGTGTGGGGAGGGTCGGTATGCGTATGCCTGGGATGGTATGAATCTATATGTAGGATGGACGATGGGGCAGAATCGTACGTAACTTGCACCGCGAAGTGGTGACGTGTTAAATCTGCGGGGCGGGGAGGTCGATCTATATATTTTGTAGAAAGATATGTCGTGCAGTCTGCGCTGTGCAATATAGGAAGTGCTGTGGCGCCTCCAGCCAATGCGCATTCGCACATTGTCCATTCCATTGAATGCGCAAACATCCCACCCACCCGCAATTCTGGAACCATGCGGCGGCCATTGCGATGCCTGCTTGGCGCTGACTGGCGCATCGTTGCGGCCGCGCTGGCGCGCGATGTCTCGCGCGCAGAGCGGCCAGTTAGTCTGGCGCGACCGACGCAGCCGCGGTGACGATGATCTTTGGGTACTTCCCAGCCCGTTTCGCAGCCCGCGCTGGCGCGCGGGCGCTTCAGTGCGAGTCGGTGATCCGGACGGGCGCGGTAGCAGGGCAACGTCGACAAGTAAAAACGGGCACCGTGATGATAGTAGCGATCTTGGTGACGATGCTGACGATGACGACGGCAATTCGAATGACGGCGTTGATGCTGGGCACGCCTATGACGATAATGATGACGATGCCGATGATGTCCACGTGTCGGTGATAACGGTTTTTGAAGGATTTCGACATGCGCGCGCGGCCGACGCGCATAACTGTCCCGCGGGGTGTTGCTTAATACGGGCCATGCGCCTCCAGCAAGCACTCAAGGGCGTTCGAAGGATTTCGACATGGGCGCGCGGGACGCCCGCGTGGCTTCATTTGGTGAAGATTGAAGCGCTCATCGTTTCGCGAAAATTCGCAATAGCGCACGCAGGTCCTTCTTTAAGCCATGCTGCCAAACCACTGTTGCTTACGATCTTCTGAGCAGTGGCCATTGGACGAGTCGCCTGGTGCCTGAGTCGTCTTCCCCCCCTCTTTCCTCGTTCTTCCAGGGGTGGCGTCTAGCATTGCCAAAACGTATTTCTTCATGTTCTTAGGCATCCGAGCCCGCTTAACGAATAACCCATGCACCAGCAGCCTGTCAGCGCCCGCTCTGAACTTGCACTATTAGAGCGCAGCGGACGGTGATTTGGGCGTTTGCAGCGTGCGGCGGATCGGCATACCTTATACACCACGCCTTCGAGATGTCATTTGCCCCCCTTCGTCGAGTAAAAAGGAGGCGGCCCGCTCCTCCCTCATTCTATTTTCCTTGTCTCTTCGCTCGTCGTCGCCCTTCTTCCTCGTTCGCTCCTCGCTCCCGCCCGCAGCTCGTCGAGCGTCACCCCGCTCGACCCGCGGCTGTTGTACACGCCGGGCACCACCGGCCAGGCAGCAAATGGGGCCGGCAGGGGCTCGAGGGAAGGTGTATGGATGAGGGAGGTTGGCTGGTTGGTTGCCACTGCGGGCGATCTGCAGAGGCTGGGGGAGAAGGAAAGGGAGGGAGGAGGGGAGGAGGAGGAGGAAGGAGGGAGGGGGAGGAAGGAGGGAGGGGGGGAGGAGGGAGGAGGCGGAGGGAGCGAGGAGCAGGGGGGAGGTAGGGGGGAGGTGGGGAGGAGGGCGAGGACGAGGACGAGGCTTGGTGGGAGCAAGAGGGTGCAGGAGGTGGAGGAGGTGGACGAGGAATGAGTGGGCAAGGTCTGGGGCAGGGGTGGGACTGCTGCGGATCGGGCTCGGCCCAGGTGCAACCAATGAGCCTCCCTCGCGTGGAGAGGCGGGGCTGGAGGAGGGACGGGGGAGGAGAGGGGAAGCATGGGGGGAGAAGGGATGGGAGGTAGCCCATTTTTGCACGCCGGGCGTTGCAATTTTTGCACGCCGGGCGTTTTGGCCAGGTTCCGGGCCCCAGGACCCTCACAGATCGGTCCGGTTTGGAAAAGTGGGTCCGGGGCTCCAGGCGTGATTTTTCGCGACGTTGCAATGTGTTCGCACTTTCGGATCTCAAGGAGGGCGTGAGGGGGAGGAGGCACGGGCGGAGAAGAGAAGGCGGAGATGGCGCCCGGCGCGCGATATTGATGATATGATTTGCTGGCGGCGGCGAGAGTGGAACATTCGATCAGATTTTTTGATGAACTACACGATGGATTTCCGGAAGTCGTGGTTCCAACGTGGGCGCACTTCAGCCGAGGATTTTGCTAATGCGAACATCTTGGTGCACACAGATGGGGGCACTCGTGCCGGGACGTGCTCGGCTGCAGCATGGTGCGTGGAGGTTGTCGTTCGCAAAGGAGGGTGCGAAGTATCGATTCCAGTATTATTCGCAGGCGCATTAATTATTGATCCCATTTCCTCTTTTACTGCGGAGGCTATCGCGCTTGAGGAAGCGGTAGAAGCAGTGAGGACCCTGACCAAAACCTCGAGCCACCAGCCGTCAGATGTATGACTTAGACAGCTTAGCTTATCCAAGAGGCCAACGTCTTTCTTCAGACCCTAGCTTCTTGTACATGTTTTGCCTTCGTCAGATCTCCATTCCGTTGCCCACGCTGCTGTGCATTTCATTCGTGACAGGTTCAATCGGCCAACACTGTTCGTGTGTTAGGCTTAGCGAAAGAAAGAAAGAGAAGGCGGAGGAGGAGAAGACGGAACAGGAGATGAAAGTGGCGGAGCAGCATGAGCAGGAGCAGGAGCAGGAGCAGGAAGAGGAGGAGGAGGAGGAAGTGGAACTCGAGAAGGAATTTGGGTTTGTTACGAGCACTGCTCGCGCCCGATGTTGAGTCGTGGCTGTATCGCGGAATGAGGTGCGTTCCTGAGGCCCCAGCAGAAGGTGCCGTCTGCATCAAGCCAGCACGCCTCCTGATCGGTTGATTTTCTCAGCCGCCTGCCCCACAGTGCATGGTTCTATCGCGCATCTCGGCTGAGGCGGGGCGGTCATCTGCAGCTCTGCTGCTTCTCCTCCTTGGCCTCCTCGGCTCCCGATGGAGCCGCCGGGTTTCTCCTCTGGCGCCAGGTGCACCACCGCGCTGGCAGACAGCGAGGGGAGGGGGATGGGGTGGGAGTGGGTGGAAGAGAAGGAGGGGAGAACCATGGCAAGAACGGGGAAGGGGGAGAAGGAGAAGGAGGAGGAGGAGAGAGAGGAGGGGAGGACGGGGATAACAACGACGACGATGAGCAGGAGAAGCTCGAGGGAGGAGCAGAGGAGGAACGAAGTGAGTGAGTAAGAGGAGAGGAGGGATCAGGAATAGGAGGGGAGGAATGGTGACCACTGGGAGGTGAAGGATGGGGATGCTGGGAGGGTCATGGGGACGAGAAGGCGGATCGGCGTCGAGCGATGGGGGGGCGGCGAGCAAGAGAAGGCACTCTCAGAAGGCGGCGGGAACTCTCAGAAGCCCTCGGGCCTTCTGAGAGGTCTTCTGTGTCTTCGGGGAAGACTTAGAAAACTTCTCAGGATGCCGGCGAACTTCCGAGCCTTCTGAAAACCCCGAACGACACTTTACAACCGAGATGGGTCACTTTACAACCAGCAAAAGATCGGATTCCTTGGTCTTCCCTGAAAGCGACCACTTTACAACCAGAACAGCCCACTTTACAACCAGAACGGCCACATTACCACCCAGGCGGGGCTCTTTGCAACCAGAACGGCCACTTTACAACCAGCCTTCAAAAGCGCGCGCGCGCGTTCTGCAGGGGCTTCTGAACCCTCCGAGCGCCTGAACGCTCTGCAGAGGCATCTGAGCGCCTGACCGTTTTGCAGAGGCTTCTGAGCCCTTGGTCGCTCTGCAGGGTCATATGAGCGCCTGAACGCTCTGCACAGTCTTCTGAGCGCCTGAGCGCTGTGCAGAGGCATCTGAGCGCATGAGTGCTCTGCAGAGGCTTCTGAGCGCCCGAGCGTTTTGTAGAGGCTTCTGGGCGCCTGAGCGTTATGCAGAGGCTTCTGAGCGCCTGAGCGCTCTGCAGAGGCTCCTGAGCGCGTGGGCGCTTCGCAGAGGCTTCCGAGCGCCCGAGCGCTTTGCAGAGGCTTTCGAGCGCCTGAGCGTTCTGAAGCTTGTGCGAAGCGAATGCACTAACACGTACTGTTTGCGATGCCAGAAATGCAACTTGGAATCCGCATGCGCTGGTCAGAATTCAACCAACGATTTCTTGGGCACTTTCCGCCCTCCTGGGTAAGCATGCTTCCGCAATTGCGCAAACGTGCGGCTTTGCGATTGCCCGACGATGGGGCGCGAGGATAAACATGGCCTGTGAGGCAAACAACGAAATTCGGAATCTACACGCATTAGCTAGAGTTGTACGAACGGTTTCTTTGCCACATGTCTGCCCTCCTGGGTACGCATGCTTCCGCGATTGCGAACACATACGGTTTTGCGATTGCCAGTCGATGAAGCACGAGGGCGAAAGCTGTCTACGCGCCCGAACACACACACAAACAAAACAACTGCATCCAGACGCAGTGGCTCGAGTGTTACCGTCGCTTTCTTGGCTAAGTTTCCGCTTTCCTGGGCGCGCATGCTCGCAATTGAGAAACCATGCGGTCTGCGTGGTTGTCAGGCGATGAGGCACGAGGACACACATGGTCTATGATACAAACAGCAGCAGTTTGAAATCCACATGTATTGGCTAGACTGTTGCCGTCGAATTCGTTTCCGCATTTCCGCCCTCCTGGGTACGCATGCGACCGCGAATGCGAACACATACGGTTTCGCGATTGCCAAACGATGAGGCGCGACTACAATTGTTTGTGAGGCCAAAGGCACACATTGAGATCCACACGTATCGTCTAGAACTTCACCAGCAGTTTCTTGCCACCATGTCCGCTCTCCTGGGCACGCATGTTTTCGCAATTCTGAAGACATAATGCTTGCTTGTGCTGTTTGCAAACGATGAGGCGCGCTGACAAACATGGTCTTTGATTCCAAAGACAAGCAGTTTCAATTCACATGTATTGGCCAGAAATTTGTCAATGCTTTTCTGGCCACATTTCTGCTTTCCTGGGTGCGCATGCTTCCGCGCATGCGAAAACATGCGGTTGCGTCGTAGCCAGACCACGAGGCGCGCGGGCCAAACATGTTGGTGATGCAAAAATATGCGCTCCGCATGTATCGGCTATAAGTTTACCAGTGATTATTTTGCCGCATTCCCGCTCTCCTGGGAGCGCGCGTGTTCCTCTGCGTTTTTTTGCGGCGAACGCTTACTCTTTTCTAGGTCCAGAAGAGGCCGGGTGTTCAGGCAGAGGTTAGCAGGTTCTAAAACATATGTAGGTCTAGAGCATGAGTGTAAACAAAAAACATGTTAGACCGCCCAGGCCTGTCACCAGCCTGTAGCGGGAGGATCTTTATTGGATCTCAATTGGGCCACAAGGATAACAATAGGAGGCCCATCGGGGCACAACATGAGTCAACGAGGACACGTTTTTGTTGAGTTAAAATTGGTTCCGGGTGGGATCGCAGCAATATGCCCGCATGGGTCGAAAAAGGGAAGAATTTCAATTGCATTCCAATGCGATATCCTTCGTATTCGCCAATATGGTTCTGATGGGATCCCAAGAAGGACGTATCCTATTGATCTCGAGTGAGAACCCACAAGAATACCCACCGGGTTTCCATATAGTACCCATAGTGCGTTTCCCGCAGCATTCCAATAGGAAGGTTTCCCGATTGTAATCCCTTGGGGTTTCCAATCGGTTTCCACTAGAATGAGCCCCAACTGGTTTCAATAGGAAGCGTCCCCTTCGGATTCTAATAGGACGCCCGTAGGCCCCATATCGACGAATCTTGTTGGATACCCATGAATGGGATTCATCTGGTGCCAACAGGATCCCTGTGGGAAGGGTGCCGATAGGATTCCAATAGGACTTTTGTTGGATCCCACTATGCGTCCGCCATTTCACAGATTCTCGCTTCAGACATGTCACTTCACAACCATCACGCTTCAGAGAGGGAAGTGTCTCCCTTACGTGGACCCACGGAGATTTCGGACATTGAGGAACATGTGTGGCTCATGTGCGTTTACTCGTCTGGTTGTAAAATGGTTTTCTTGGTTGTGAAGTGCCCCTCTGGGAAAACCCATGCTGGTTGTAAAGCACCCCATCTGGTTGTAAAGTGGCCGGTCTGGTTGCAATGTGACCCACGCGTGGGGGGGGGGAAGGCTCAGGAGGAGGTTATGGCACATAGAAGAGAAACAGTTTCCCGTCAGCGCATCGCCTGGGACGAGCTCAGCCAGTACCTGTGCGGCCAGAGCTGCTGGGACGAGTCCGGCCGGCGCGGAGCCAGGTGGTGGCGACCGGAGGGCGAGGCCCGAGCGGGGCTCCTCGGGTGTGGGGGGGCGCTCCGGTTTCGGGACGCACGCGGCGTGATGGCAGCGATAGTGATGGTGGCTTCGGGCGCCGATGGTGCTATTTCCTGGGAGGGGGTCCATAGATTTTGTTCGGTGTGTTTTTTTTGTTTCTCTCTCTCTACATTTATGTGTACATGATTTGAACATTTATAACTGCTAATATACATACATACGTAACTATACATACATTTATATATATATAGGTGTATATATATGTATGTATGTATAAATGTGTGTAGGGAGAGTGTGGGAGCACAATTCAAGTGTGTATATATACACAGTCATAGGGAGGGAGAGAGTGTGTTTGTCATACGTATATATATATATATATATATATGCATACATCCCTCTCTTAAGGGCTTCGTCCTCTGCCGCCGGCCCCCCTATTACTAGTGCGTGCGGCTGCGTGGATAGCGCCGTGGGTGCTTGGCGTGGCAGGCTTCTCGGCAGCGTCTGCGGGTCATTGTTGGAGATTCTTGGAAGCCGTTTTGGAGCTTCTTGTTGCATATTTTGGGTCTTCTGGGGGTCTCCTTGGAGCCTCTTTGGTGCCTCTTGGGGGCCTCCTGGGGGTTCTTGGGGCCTTCTGGGGGCCTCCCGGGGCCCTCTCAGAGTGGAAGGGTTAAGTTTTCGGTTCGGACTCCCTCTTGGGCTTTTCTTGGGACCGTCTAGGGATCGTTTTGGGCCTTCTGGGGCGCCTCTTGGACCGTCTTGGGGCCCTCTTCGGCCGTCTTGGGGCCGTCTTGGGGGCCTCTTGGGCCGTCATGGTGGACGTTAGAGGAAGATCGTTGATTTTCGTGGGGCCCTCTTGGGAAGCCTCTTGGAGGCCTCTTGGGTTGTCTTGGGAGCATATTCGGCCGTCTGGGGGCCATCGTGGGACATCTTGGGGTCATCTTGAGCCGTTTTGGCCTCCTGAGGCTCTCTTCGGAGCTTCTTCGGGCAATCTTGGAGGCCTTTCGGGCCGTTCTAGCCGCACGGTGGCGTCATCATGAGAATTCTGCGGTGGCTTGGAGCAGCTAGGATTCGAGCTTCACCCCCGTTGGCTGTTTGATGGCGCGGCGGGGCCCCCTAGCAGACAGTAAACAGGAGGCAGGGAACAGGACTCGAGAGACGAAAGGCCAAACAACAAATGACAACACATAAAACATGACAGCAGACCGCATACACTTTCACAGCCTTGCGCCCCCCGGAGGGGACCGATGCTTCGCAGTGGGTCGCGTTCATTCTAGCATCTCCCGGACGCTGGTCCAGCGCTGTGAGCTGCTTTAACTTGGTTGAAACCCGATGCGATGCCGCCGCTGTTGCCAAAGCGTCCACGGTAGGCGGCACGCGCCCGCATGTCTCAGCACATGCGCATACGGCACGGCCGTAAGTGCCTGCAGCGATTTTGGGCACCAGCTGATGCCACCTGCATCGCTTGCGGCACCGTTTTTGGGAGCCGTCTTCGTCTCTTGTCACACCTGTGCGATTCGCGCCGGCCCAGGTGCTGGAACGAAATCCGGGCAAACCGCAAACGTTTCCCGCCACTCCCTGATGCCATCGTCGAGCACCTCAATTTACAGGATCGGGAGCTCCGTCGTGAGGCCCAGCGCGCGGGGCATTCCCATGCTGTGGCGCAGGGTCCAACTCGCCGCGCTGATGGTTCCACCATTGGCCGCGCCAGTAGGTAGCAGCAGTATTTCGGCACATGCCTGGCCCTGCCTGTTGCAATCGCTGTCCTTGTTTAGCTTTCTCCGCTTTGCCTGCTCAGCGCCTCCTGTATAGCGTTCCCTGTCTAGCTTGCCTGCTCGCTTGACTTGATACTCCTCGCGCTACATTTGACGAGTAATACATAATCCATACATATAGAAGGCTCCACCTGGGGGTTCCCTCCCCTGGGGGGGGGGGGGGCGACCGCAATCGCTGCGGTTCGAAGGTTCCCGAGCAGGTCGGCCTCCCCCGAAGCGAACAACTCAGAAGATACCGAGGGCCCCAGTCCTAACTCTGGGCGCCGACTTGTTTCTTACTTAGTCGGCCCTGTGACTGGCGGGAACCGAGGGCGCGGCCGCAACCCGACGGCCGCGCATCCAGCAGCAAGGGATTATTTACTAAGATGATGGAGAACAATGGGCAATTAGGCGAGCCATCCGATGTCTGTTCTTGTATGGTCATTGTCGGTATCGCGGCCGACAGTGTGATTTAGCGCAGGCAGCCCGGCTCGCCGACTTCGCGACCCCCCAGAATATTCATGCGGTTTTTAGCACCAAATCCAAGGCCTCTGATATGCTAGGAGTGCCGTTTGCTGAAGATCATACCCGTCCTCGGCGCAGACGACAGACCCAGGTGCGTGACGATGTACGCCGGATACGCGTACGCGCGCACCTACATGTGCGAGAGGTTGCGAGTTGTGGGAAGGATCCACGAACTATTCCGATCAGCGCGAGCTTATTATGATTTACATAGGTTCCTATTACAGGGTGCTTCAATTGACATTGGTGTTGCGTGCGTTTCCCAAGACTTTCGTGTTGTGCCGTTTCCGGGATCCACGCTTCAGACCCGCGACGGACTGATGCCACGCGTGGGCACTGACACGTTTGGCCCCGACCCTCTCGTATGCAAGCATGCCTGGATGCAAGGGAAGCTGGGTGGCATTCGATCACGCAGTGGTCGAGGATGGTACGAACGTGATGTGTATTTCTCGTCAGGTAATGCGCCGCTTTTGACCCAGACTGGCCAGACGGAAGTTCACGGTGATCAGCGGCAGCGCTGGACTTGCATGAGTGCGGCCCTCCGCAGTTTGACGCAGCATACCAGATCGACTTTGATTTGGGGGGTGGGTAGTATTGCTCACCTGAAGCAGGAGAGTCCTTCTGTTGGCTTTGGGGGCCCGCGCAAGAGTCCCCCGAGTCTGAATGCCGAAAGTTACGAGTTAATGCTTATTTTACGCGGCGTTCAATCGAAGGCTCTTAATTCTTGTTCTTCCAGCAGGAAGTTCAATGGGACATGAATTCGCCCGAATGGACAGCACTGTCGCACGAGTTCCCTGATAGGCAAAGTACCCTGCTGCCCTGGCTTATCCGCGCAGGTGGGCTACACTTCCTTAGCCTGGGCGGATATCGTGACCGCAGGCCAGTGGGCGGGCTCTTCCAGCTACCGTCTCGGAAGCCAATGAAGTCTCCAAAGTCAGTCCGACAGATGGAATCCGCAACTCTTTGGCGGAGCTGTCAAATCATGTAGCAAAGGGGCGCGGGGCGATGCTGATATGTGCAACTCTGAGCTTTGCGCGAGGGTTCTTCGATTTCGTTCTGCCGTGAGTGGTCACTTGGGGCGCGTGCCAATTAGCCTCGACGCTTGCGACCAGTGCGACTAGATTGAGGTGGCCATGGCCGCGGCGGGTACTGGGTTCATTCAACAACCAGGCTCGCGCGCACCTCGTCGGCCGAACGTCTTGAGCGAGTCCGCTTCGAAGCTCGTCGCGGAGAATCATAGTTGGGTGGGGGCGCAAGCGGGCGGCGAGTTTTTGAACGCATCGTTGCATTCTGCTCTGCGCTTCTTCGCGCAGCGCCAGACGCGTCTCGCCGCCAAAATGGCCCAGGCCGCCATCAGAGTCGGCGAGAAGGCTCATGCGGAGTCCTTGGCTGAGGGGGCAAAGTTGATGTTTCGTTCTGGCGGCGCACGACGCGCCTTCAAAATCGCGCAGACTCTTGCTCCCAAGTCTTCGGCATCTTCTGCGACATTGAAGCTGCGCGGACAGTGCGGCTGGCATCCGGAGGATGAGATTGAGGCAAAGGCCTTTGCTATGATGCGTATCTTCGACGCAACGACCATGGCAGTCGATGGCGCCGCCTCTCGCTGGCGCGAGACGGTGACATTGAATGCCGCAGACCGCGCCCCGCCTGTCTTCGCCCATGCGATGGTCGAGAATCTGATTGACGCGATGCCGGATTTCAAAGCAGGTCTCTCCATCTTGCAGCCGTCGTAGATTCGGGTGTCCCGTGGTGCAGTTGCTGGTTTGTTCGACATGGCGAGCACCGAAGTAGCCCCTCTTTTTGCAGCGGCGAGTTCTGGCATGGTTGAGATGTGCCAGGTTCCGCTGTCCTCCAAAGATGGAGAGGCCGTCTACCTTCGCAAGCCAGGCAGAGGAGTTTCTCGGAGACCCGAAAGGTGAGATCGCACGGCGCATCAGCCACGCCCATTTCGGTGGGCCCCCGAATCGCGGCGCGCAAGATGCTATCGCGACCGCGCGCGGGGGTCATCGAGAGAGCGGCGGCCGCGGCGCCCAAGAGCGCGAAGTGAAAGTTGCACGACCACCCTCTTTTCATATCCGCCACGGCTTCGCCTCAGGCCGCCGGCCCCCTCTCTCGGATAATGGGCCGTGGAAGAGCGAAGTCATGAGGCGTTGGCTTCGCCGTGAAGCAGTGTCCGAACCTGTTTGTTTTTCGACCCTGACCCTGCGGATCTGCGCGGGGGGTGCCTGCGGATTTCAGAAATGCGGCAAATCCATTCTGCGTTTTTGGGCCCTGGCCCTGCGGGTGTGCGCGAGGGGCGCCGCTGAATTTCAGAAATGTTGCACGTCCCGTGTTTTTGGACCCTGACCCTGCCAATCTGCGCCATGTGTTTTTGGATCCTGACCCTACCGATCTGCGCGAGGGGTGTCACCGAAATTCAGAAATGTGGCAAATCCCACGCTTTTGCACCCTGGCCCCGCCGATCTGCGCGAGGGGTGACGCCGGATTTCAGAACCGCTGCAAATCCAAAGTGTTTTTTGCACCCTGATCCAGCCGATCTGCGCGAGGGGAACCGCTGAATTCCAAAAATGTTGCAAATCCTATGTTTGTTTTTTTTTTTTGATCCTGATCTTGCCGATCTGCGTGAGAGGCGCCGCCGGTTTTGTTTAGAGATGTTACTGGCGCCGCCGATCTGCGTGAGAGGTGCCAGGCAATTTCAAAAATGTTGCACATTCCATGTGTCGTTTGACCCCG